CACACACACACACACACACACACACACACAAGACATACGGAGAAACACAAACAAAGCTAGGGAAAAGAAGTAAAAAAAAAATACGAGATCCAGTCCAACAAAAAGTCTAAGGAAGTTGTAAACACCGTTGATTGATCCTTTCAACCGCCCCCCCCCCTTCAGGCCGCACCAGCGCTACAAGTGGTCAGGCCGTTCGCCCAGCTGGTCATTACGTAAGATCTGAGTGCCTGCCACGTCTCTCATCCTGTCACTACCACGCTCACTTCTGATATGCGCAGTGCCTTGAAGGTCCTTGATCTGTTATTGTTTATGTGTAATCATGACTGTAGCAATCTCTCGACTTTTTTTTTTTTTTTTTTTTTTTTGCCTTTACTTCACAAATATATAGGATCTACTTATATCTATCTAATTCAGTTTCTTAACCTAGAGGGCTTCTATATTTTTCTGAAGAGGGCGCGAACCGTTGAAAAAAAAAAACAGTAATTTCTCTAATCATCTTTTTCATTCTCTTAACAAGAGCATGGTCACACATTAGAAAGTTTAATTATAATGCGACTAATTCATACTCATTAAAAGACGAAAATGCTTATAATTTTCTGGGAGGGAATTTTGTTTACAGATGCAATAGAGGCGTGGAGGGAAGGACAAATTCCTAAAGGGGGGCGTGGTAGTTAAAAGGTTAAGAACCGCTGGTCTAACTGATTATCTATGTCTGTCTCTCTCTCTCTCTACACACACACACACACACACACACACACACACACACACACCACACACACACACACACACAACACACACACACACACACATATATATATATATATATATAATATATATATATATATATATATATATATACACATACGCACACATACACACAAACACACACACACACACACACATATATACACCTATGTATATATATTTATATTCTTTATCTCTGTATGTAGATATGCCTATATCTACTGCACGTATATATTTATATCTACATACAAGCATATACACACTTATGTATTCGTTTACCACCTTGAGAGAGAGAGAGAGAGAGAGAGAGAGAGAGAGAGAGAGAGAGAGAGAGAGAGAGAGAGAGAGAGAGAGAGTGAGAGAGAGAGAGAGAGAGAGAGAGAGAGAGAGAGAGAGAGAGAGAGAGAGAGAGAGAGAGAGATGATGGGGGGGGATGGGTGACAACCAGCAAGACATACGGAGAAACACAAACAAAGCTAGGGAGAAGAAGTAAAAAAAAAATACGAGATCCAGTCCAACAAAAAGTCTAAGGAAGTTGTAAACACCGTTGATTGATCCTTTCAACCGCCCTCCCCCCCCCCCCAGGCCACACCAGCGCTACAAGTGGTCAGGCCGTTCGCCCAGCTGGTCATTACGTAAGATCTGAGTGCCTGCCACGTCTCTCATCCTGTCACTACCACGCTCACTTCTGATATGCGCAGTGCCTTGAAGGTCCTTGATCTGTTATTGTTTATGTGTAATCATGACTGTAGCAATCTCTCGACTTTTTTTTTTTTTTTTTGCCTTTACTTCACAAATATATAGGATCTACTTATATCTATCTAATTCAGTTTCTTAACCTAGAGGGCTTCTATATTTTTCTGAAGAGGGCGCGAACCGTTGAAAAAAAAAACAGTACTTTCTCTAATTATCTTTTTCATTCTCTTAACAAGAGCATGGTCACACATTAGAAAGTTTAATTATAATGCGACTAATTCATACTCATTAAAAGACGAAAATGCTGATAATTTTCTGGGAGGGAATTTTGTTTACAGATGCAATAGAGGCGTGGAGGGAAGGACAAATTCCTAAAGGGGGGCGTGGTAGTTAAAAGGTTAAGAACCGCTGGTCTAACTGATTATCTATGTCTGTCTCTCTCTCTCTCTACACACACACACACACACACACACACACACACACACACACACACACACACACACACACACACACACACACATATATATATATATATATATATATATATATATATATATATATATATATACACATACGCACACATACACACACACACATATATACACCTATGTATATATATTTATATTCTTTATCTCTGTATGTAGATATGCCTATATCTACTGCACGTATATATTTATATCTACATACATGCATATACACACTTATGTATTCGCTTACCACCTTGCAGCCCAGCCAAGAAAGGAATTCCAAATCATAACAAGCAGGTATAAACATTGAACAGCAAAATATTATTTAGGTTTCTCATTCCTAGACAAACAAATAAATAGAAAAGTGAAAAGAATTATGGGTGAATGCTGTAATTACAGAACAGTGAAAAGGAAGGTTAATAAACAAATAGACATAAATATTTATGGAGAGAGAGAGAGAGGGGGGGGGGGTGATAGGCATGCAGACAGACATGTGAAATATGGGGGTAGATATGTGAATTTAAAGATATATAAAAAGATAAACTAATAACTAAACATAGAGAGAGAAAGAGAGAGAGAGAGAGAGAGAGAGA